TGAAAGTATTTTCAATAACACAATGCACGCAGTATTGTCGTTTTTCGAAAAATCTTCAAAACAGTTCTTAAGTCGGATTCGAAAATCGTACGAAAACTTGAATATTTGAGTTATTTTATAACAAGTTTATGAGAGTGTAATCGTATATGATAAATATTTGAAAATCGCTGTGTATATGTAATACAAGGAAAGTATTGTTTGCTGTTAGCTTGGAGTGTCTACTGTTTAAGTTAGTTACTGTTTGTAGTGTAGTTTTGAATGCAATATAAATACTCGATAACGAGCTTTTTAACTTTATATTCCAATATTCGGTTATACATGATATTTATATATATATTTGAAAAACACTGAGTTACGGGGAAACAAAATTATATAGGCACCTTCTACGTATACAATAGTAATGGAATGGTCTTATTTCATAATCAACTCAACGTACGTACTGACCCGATCGACGGAATTCAATTTTACAAAATTAATATTGTATAAAATAATTTTTACCAGAAAATGTTTCGTGTTTTTGCTTTGAATACGATTCGGACGTGATGTCAATTTTCTTGTCTAACGATTGTTCAATGATATAGCGCCGAACACTTACCTGTTTCGGAATTACATCCGGAGTCGGTCGAACGTGCACGCAAGTCGTGACGTACGAATCATAGGAATTCAATTCTTACCTGCTACATCATTGAAGTAAGGAAGAGTTAATGGACGAATTAAAAACTGTCGTCCGGCTGACTGAAAGTACCGACGGATTAAAAACACTTGAAATAACAGTTTACCATAAAAGTTATCGACATTTTAAACATTTTTAAATTTTTTTTTACATGTTACGAACACAAATCAGATTAGAAATTATGATTTCAACGCATTAATTTCACGAGGTGAAAGGTTCAAAGCGTTCGACGTGCGTAACTTACACCGCCAGTCAAGGCGAATGTATTGTACGAAACAAATAGGAATTCGCTTACAGCACTACTGCAAAGTAAGTGTAGTAGTAGTGCCATTGGATCGTGAGTATTAAACAAATACGGTTGAATAATATTTACTTTTTGATTGTTTATGTGAAGATGGAAATACTATAGTTATACATTGCGTTTGATACATTTTTGCATAATCGCATGTTTCAGGGACGTAAAAAAAAAATCTAATACCTTAAATTTATTAAAAATACATTAGATCTCTAATATACGGGTACGTTTTTTCAATATATTTTTATTGCCTTATAAATTCTTTAACCTCTTACATGTACCTAGCATAATGTTATAAATTATAGTTAAATATTGTATGAAAATTTGATATAGTACAGTTTAAATGGACTATGCTAGGGGTGTCTAACCCACGACCCGTGGTAGATTTTGATGCGACCCTCACTTAAATTTAAAAACTATCAATTCGTTGTATATAATATATTAATATTACGAAAACAAATTTATTTGTTGACCAATGCACACGATGGATATTCAACTCAAAGAAAAATGTAATCAGTCATTTTTATTAAATTATTATAAATTATATCTACCCAAAGAAACATATCCAGTGCTTCATGATCATGCCTTATTCATGTTCTCGCTTTTCGGCAGTACATACATTTGTGAACAATTGTTTTCAATAATGAAAAACACAAAAGAGTAAGAATTGGTGCACTATATTAGACAAGCATTTTGAAAGTTGAATTGCCACAACTTCAATCGATTCAGATATTGATTTGTTACTTTCACAAAAAAAGCAACTGCAAATTTCCCATTTGTTTTTTTTTTATTTTTTTTTTTTAATATAAATAATTATATTTTTCTGTGTAATTATAATTAAATATTAATACTTGTAAAAATATTTCGATTTATTATTCGCTATTGTAAAATGATAAAAAAATGTACTGTTGTATTATAGAATATAATTTAACCATTAAATTTGAACGTATTATTATTAAAAACAAGTATGTGGCCCACAACAACTTTAACTGATATGATGTGGCCCGATCTTCACAAAAAAGGTCAGATACCCCTGGACTACGCCGTTTTGTGAAAAATAAATATATTATATTATAATCCCGATTAAATAGTAATCACATTTTTATAATAAATGTAATAATTTATTTATCGATATTCAGAGATAGGCTCCAGTTTCAATGATACACAAATAAGTGGTTGAGGTGATTGAAAGTCTTAGACTATTTGTACATGATGGGTGGGTCTTACATTATCAATGATCATTTATGTGCATAGAATCGTGAGCGGTCGTTGAGATACTCGAATAAGTGTTGACTAAATACCATCGAACTCGGGGCCTCGACGACCGAGAATCGGAGGTAAGGGGTAGGTCTTATGTGTTGGTCTTGAAAAGAGCTGTTTTGTAGTTAAATCATGATCGGTTGGGTGTAAGCTGGGACTACAATACCGAAAACCACGTGTAAAGCCGCTGGTAATCGGTTATCGTATTGACGCTGATCACTAGAGTACGGATTTTAAAGCAATAAAAAACTAAAGAAAAGCACTAAAAAAAGGAATAAAGCTGTACGAATCTTCATGAAAAGTTTAAAAACATCATAAAAAATAGGTTTTTGAAAAAAAAAAATTGTTTTCGGCCTTTTTTGTAAATGATTATACGGAGTTAAAAAGAAAACTGAACTGTAATTCTGAGTAGAAAATTCCCAAAGCAAGAGCATATTTTTGTGTTTATCGTCGTTTCAAGATAAATTGATCTACTATATATCATATGATAGGTACGTGGCAGAGTGAATACACGAGGGATGTAACTTAAAAACAAAAAAGTACCCAAAATACCCAATATACAAAATATAAAAAAGAGCAAAATAAAATGCCGTGCATTTTGTTCTAAATAGTATATATCGAATCTTTAGCTGACATACCTTAATTTTAGAGCAATAGAAAAAAATAAACCCACTGTGCGAAAATTTGTAATATTTACGTTTTATAAACATTTGAAGTTTACTTACAATGTTATAAATTATTGTATAAATTACATAAATTTAATATTATATTAACTGCAAATGTTCATGAAAATTAATTTGCTTATAAATATAACAAAATAATATACGTCAATTTCATGTTAAAATTATATTTCATTGAACATCGAATTCATGTTAAAGTTATATTAAAACGGTTTCATTAAACATCAAATACCAAATGGTATATAATATCATATATATTGTATATTAAAATTTAATGAAATGTAAATATCATTTTGAACCAGCCAGTTAATCGGTACAACACTATAATCTTTTGATATAAAAATAATACTTTGTTGTTATATTCTGTAACAAAAATCATTTTATACCTACATGCAGGGGCGGAACTAGGAGGTGGAAGATGGGGATTCACCCCCAGGCGTAAAATTTTAGAGGGTGTAATTTTTGTAATTATTAATAATTAATTTGATATTTTTAATTTGTTAAATACTGATATTAGGTTAAAACTCAATTAGCATGATTGTATATTAATTTTTAGAAAAAATTTCTCCAGAAGAGTATTTGATTATTGATCTATGATAGGACGTAATTTTAACATTTTCCCCGGGCGTAAAAATTCCTTATTCTACTTCTGCCTACATGTAAATGTAAACCTTTCCGTATTTTTATTTTATTGAATAAACCATTGACAAAACATCATACTTGCGCTATTTGCAATTCCGTACGACTTGTAGGTTGTATGTATCTGTCTGTAATACGAGGACAACACATGCGGCATTGTTTACAGAATTTACCTTTCTATTTGACATTTTAGAATGTTAATTACGTATAAAACGAATACAGTAAAAGTAGTAAATACTCAACGGTTGCGTAAAATAAAAGCAAAAACTGTGATCACTAATCAGTTCAAAAATATCAATATACGTAACGATGAAATATTTCCTTTATACCTAAGGGCATACTCGCAGGCTGACGGCGAAGGCCGCCGACACGTCGTACGCTGTGCTGTCCGATAAGCGCGTCAACAGACAAAATAAAATATATATATACTGGGTATTTAGACAGGAGGGTTTTATTAGATAAAGATATTATATTTATTTATTTTTAGAACATATTAAATTCAAACATAAATAGGACGTAATTTTAATATTATTTTTTAACACTATATAATCAAACATTTTTAAGACATTTTAGGATTACATTAATTTAATATAATATAATATACTCGTAATATATTATATATATTTTTGAACAACATACATTCAGTAAATGTTAATTAACCGAACTTTTTAACTTATTTCTTTTTTTAAAAAAGGGTAACATAAATGTAAAATCTTAAAATTATGTTAGAAATGTGACTTAAAATTTACATTTTTAGTAAGTTTTAAAACATCGATTGTACAATGGAAAATGCCTTCAAAATCCGTAATATAATGATCACGTTGGCCGTATTGTGGACTGTTGATGGGTTTGGTTGGAAATGTTAAATCACTGGCCAGCAAACAGGTGGTCATCGATTGTTAACAGATATTCACCGATCGCTGTTCTTGTCCACTGATGTTGTTGTTGATCTACGTGAGACAGCGTCAATCCTTTTCCGCCGTCGTCAATCCTCACCAATCACCGTTAATTCTCATCCGGTATCGTCGTTACTATTGTTGTACCCTCTAAAGGTACGTTCATCGGCTGACGTAACGGCCTACGTGAATCGCGTTGGTCAGCAAATTCGGGCTCGAACGGCTTCCACGGTCAGCGCGAGCGAGTCAGTCGACGTACGGCCATAAGTGTGACAGAACATCGATAGCGTTTTTCATAATCTTAAGCTAAGTAGTCTAGTGAAATAAACTAATATATACAGTGATGGCCTTGAAAAAAACCTTATTATACATGATATGTATGTTGTTGTGTATAATAAAACATCATGTTTGCATGTAAAATTAAAACGGTTTTGGTACAGTTATTTTTTTTTTTTTAGTAAAAACTAAAACAGGAGAATACGTAATTGAAATGTTAAAAAAATTAAAACCAATTATATTTTCTGTTAAAAAAAAGAACTGCATACTAATATGTTTAACCTTTATTAACAACGCTAAAAGTGTAAAAAGTTGGTTAGTAAAAAAATGCAACGTAGTTTTAGTTGGAATAAATATCGAATTGCCAAGTCAAATTATTCCATCTTCCTTTTCGTTGTAATATTTATACTTTTACAAAGCAAAAGTTCACATTATTGTTGTGTGACGGAAAAAATATCAATTAAATTATCAACCTCAAGATATTTACAGATTTAGTACAATGTCTTGTTACTGTTGTGGTTATGCGTTGTCTTTTTCATCCGTTCGACGCTATTAAAATGGAACATTTTCTCACAAAACGTTTCAAATAATTAATATTCGGACGGCCAAGTCGTGGCGTGCAATATCGTATTACGTTCCGGCTTCTATGGAATTTTGCGAGATGACTGGAAATTCAACAAAAAACATGGAAAAAGTTAAGCACACATGATTAGGGTAAGTATGTGTGGGCAGAGTGGCATGCGTATGAGAGTCAGTCGTTTCCGCCAAAACGTAAATGTTCGATTTTCGTTTCCGCCAAATCTATTTCTACACAACTGTCTAAATTATAATTTGAGAACCATTTAAAGTTACCCAGAGGCCACCATGGAGAGCCGCTTCTTATTGACCCCACAAAAAATTGTTTAACTTAACTTTCGGATTCATATTTTTGAACTTCAATTGAATTTTATAATTAAATTTGTATATATATATATATATATATATATATATATATATATAAAGTCAAATATTTCTTATGATTCTATTAATTATTTATTATTTCAAATAATTGTTGTATACTTTTTTTAAAAACATTTTTTTATTTTTATATTACATCTTACAGAATAATTTGTAATATATATATATAAATTCTAATATATTCAATAAATACGTATATTATTCAGTGAATAATATTCATGATTTACACTGCTATGTTATCACAGTACTGACATATTCGATCACAGAACACCAATCCCGGTAACATAGGCACTAACTACGCTTGATATAGGTTATAAATTATAATATTATATATGTCGATTTATATTCATTTATAATGCGTGGAAATTATTGAACGTAAAATCACTTATCTCTTATATATCTTCAATATAAAATGATGGCTTATTCCGAATATCAATATATATATACATCGATAATCGATAGAACTGCAGATAAATAAGGGGTTCTCAAATTCACAATAATTTAAGTAAAAATAGATTTGGCTTAAACTATAACCGCCCATGCGTATCACGTCAAAAAGCCGTTCCAGGGACCAAGTCGAGTGACTGGAACGCTCGCAGGTACGTCTAACTATTGCACCCACGACATTCCAGTACGGCCAACTACGTCGATGATAATAATAGCACTATCAGCCTTAACAGTATTGCTTATACGTTTTTTTTCTATCAGACAACACAGCGACGTTATATGTTTTACGTTAGTTTTTATGGTTACCATCGAGAAAATTCGGTCGTACCGTTGCGACTACCACGTTAGTGGAATAAACCGTTTTCTTCGATTTCTCGAACATCAGTAGCGTTCTTGTCAGGCTCACGGTTACATTACGATCCCGTCGTTGTCCTCCTCGTCGATCACGTTCCCATATTCGTTGTGCGAAAACAAATCGATTTCGTTCCGCGTAAATAACTCATGGAACATCACGGCCATCGTCCGGTGGTACCGGTAGTGTAATTAATGCGTTTACTGTGTGGTATAGTAAAAATTATACATAAATATATATCTGTGGCTTGGTGTATGAAGGACCAATATCGTATTATGACAATGTTCGGGTTTAATATTCAGGTGTTCAGTAAAAACATTAAATTTGCCAATTTTTAATGTGCATGTTCAGTTTTTAAATAATATGTAAAAACACAAAAAAATTATGATGATTGAACTTTTTTTTTTTTTAAGACTGGTTTTTATTTAAGTACAATTTTAAAATTGGTCCAGTAATTTATTTACGTCAATATGTGACGTTGTTCCTTCTTGCACCAAGCCACATAAATGTATATTTATAGATGTTAACCATGAATTGTAGCTATTCGACCCGATGCCGACCACTACGCGTGGGTTAGTAACTAGGGTTTGGGACTTGTTTCATTTGCATATTGTTTAATAATGACTGAAGATTAGTCTAAGTAAGATATATATTTGTTTTAAATCATAACGGATTGAAATTCAAAAATTTTAATTGCATATTTTTGCATAATTCACCGTTTTCTGAACTAAACGCATATTTGACAAATTTTGGACATTTAATTGTTATTAATTATAGTATATTCACGCATTTTTCGTTTGATGTTAAAATTGATTTTAAAATTAAACTGTATTTTTTTTTTTTACTCTCGTTTATCGGTCAATATATCTAATCATAGAACAAGTCAAGATAGGGTAACAAAGGAAATACCTAATTGTTAAAAGTATACTATCGGTTAATGTAAATCATAATTTACTTTATATATTTACTATATATTATATAGTATTTAAAAGGAAATTAAGTATTTAATTTGTTTTTGTGCGCAGTGGCTTTAACACATCATTATTCTTGTAATTCTCAAAATTTTAAAGATGTCGAAAATAACAATCTAACGATATGCGTATTAGACAATTAGCACCGAATTTGGAGATAAAGTTTTTTCAGGTAAAGGTACGGTTTCCAAGGCGCGGCTAGCCGCGGCTTTTGTATGAACAGTGTTTACACGTAGTGCCTATAGATTGGTTTCCAATGCGCGGCTGCGGCTCGCGACTGAACTAGAGCCGCCGCGGTCGGCGGCTCTACCGCGACAAGATCAGTGTATCGCGACAGCCGCCGGCGACTCCAATCGAAAATAGTGTTAAAACTTTTGCAGTCGCTGATAGTAGTATATACTATATATTATATACTACCATAATTTAACAAATATTCTAGTATTGAATTATAATAATTATTATAGTATTGAATAATAATTATAATATCGAACATAAAATAATATTTTAGTATTATAATATAATAATGTCAAAAATTATGTTTTTGCCGGAATATGAGGAAATACTTTTAGAGGAAGTCCGGAAAAATCCTGTTTTATACGACAGTGCTGATTTATAGCACAAAGAGCTTAGTTGGTTTCCTTTTATTTGGATTTAAATAATTACGTAAAAATAAATTATCTTCTTCCTCCTCTTCTTCAAGCAAATCAATGATCATTTTGTTATTATTAAAAACGCACATTAAATCAGACATGGTTTAACACTTATATACGTATATCAATATACGTCTTAACACAACAAAATGCGAAGAACGACTAAACAAATAATGATATTATGTTTAGAGCCGCGGCGATTTGTATGTCTAGGAAATCAGTTAGACTTCGGCGGCTGATCGCGACGGCTAGTCACCACGATCGGCCGCCGCGGCTAGCCGCGCCTTGGAAACCGTACCTTAATGGATAATTTTTTTTTGTACATTTTGTGTAACGAAAATTAATACAGATAGGCGATATTTGGTTACTCAATATTTGAAGACGGGAAAACATAAATCTAAAAAAAAACTGTTATACATATTTTAGACAATTTAGCTTTGTATCAATAAATGTGTAAAACTAACTACATTTGGTTGTTGTGTAATGCAATCTGAAAAATACGGTGCAATTAAATTATTACAAATTTAAATGAAATTTGCTATAAAATGTTTATGTTTTAGTCATTTATTTATAATGAAAGGAAACGTCCTCAAAGGCGTCTACACTAATAACATTTTTGGTGATATTAAAATTCTAAGAATAACAAAACAAATGACTAATAGAGCTAATCCAGTGACTAAAAATTTAAAAGATTATTTTCGTATCGTTTTGTTTATTCCATTTTAAATAAATTAATTACTGAACTTGAATACAGATTCGATTAAAAATTAGTGTCAGTGTTTAACTGAGGTATAATTTTACAAACTTTTATTCACAATAAAGAAGTTTTAAATAACCAAAAATAAATCCAAAATAAAATTAACAATACTCGTATATGGCATAATTTTATAAATTAATATCTATACATTTTAACTTATTGTAAAAAAATATTTCGAAGGAGAGCTTTAATTATGTTATACATAATGGACAAATAAAAAAGAAATTCCAAACACATCTTCAGAAGCTTTTCAATGATGTGATTACGAAACCTTTTCAATTATTTGTAATTTTTTTTCTTACAGTCCTTTGATTATCAGCCACTTTAGCAACTGTAGAACGAATTTTTTTTCTTTTCGCCGATTAAAAACTTGGATGTGATCAAGAATATCAGAAGAACGTTTAAATTAACTCGCATTACTTAATTGTTAATAATTACTTCATATTTTAATATTAATTATTATATATTATTATTTATTATATATCGTGCATCATTATTAATTAAGCCATTTATATTACCAATCTAATTATTATACTGACAAATATCAATCAAAAAGACCAAATTATTTTATAATAATTAATATGTAAAAAGCTTTTGTAATTTTTTTCATTTTTTTTATATATATTTTATACTTTATGTAAAATTAATTTAACCTAAGAATTATTCATATTTTATTATATTTTTTTTTTTTTACTGATAAACTGAAATTTAAATAATAATATTGAGCTATTAGCAGTATTTGAACTATTTTTATCAGACTTTGGTTGATATTTTATTCAAGATTTCCCCATTCCCATTCCCGTAAATATAATCGGTTTAAACAGTTAAGTGAAAATAGAAACTGTGTTAGAGAAAAATGATGATTGAAATTTTAAATATTTAATCTGAGGATCAAGAAAGTTACGATGGTTTACAATATAATTTAAAATTAAATGACTTGATATATTTTAATATGTGCCGATAACGTTAGTAGGTGTGGAAGTTTCGTTTTAAATTTATAAAAATATGCTGACCAAAAACCTTCGTGCATTTAAGTGTGATATTATCAGAAAATGTCTTTTTGGTCAAACTTTACAGGTGAAAAATTATTTTTAAATTTAATATTAAATTAAATACCAAACCTTTTTTTTTATTTTAGAAAAATACGAAGGAAACGAAATCGAACGTACACAGGTAATATAATATCTATGTTACTATTTTCAAAAAATAATAATTAAAAAAAAATTGTCTAAATTGAAATGAATAAATCAAATTTTTTAAATTGCCATTAAAAAAATACTTAGTAGCGTATTTTCGAGCGCATTTAGGTAATTTTAAGTGAAAATTTCTTAAAATTTGTGTGCAATAAGTCTCAAAACCTAATAATATCATATCCGCGAAAACCGCTTCAATTAATTATTTTGTTTATATTCCTATGTATGGAACTGCTATCCATTTTTTCCATATAAATAATATATTTTTTTACCGAGGAATGGTGCATATAAGTTGTTCATTGTTTTTATTTAATCATTTTGTTTTTCTATATAATTTTATTATATTTATACTCCTATGTATGAACTGTTTAAAATTTTTATATTAAAATAATTTATTTATTACTAGAGCGCGGATTTGTATGCACTTAAAAGTATCTAAATATGCCATATAATATGTAGTAAAAATCATGAAAATATGCAAAAAATATGCAGTCAAAATCATGAAAATATGTAAAATATATGCAGTCAAAATTATGAAAATATGCAAAAATATTTAAGATAAAAAAATCATACTATCGTATATTTACAAGTTAAAAGAATTTTTAGAGAATATTTTAGAGTTTTTTTTTAGAGCATATATACGTCATATTTTAAACTTCTAGGAACCTAAAAATACGCTCTTTACTGACTAAACACTGAGCGATTCGAACGCGCGTCTCTGCGTCATGATTTAAAAACGCAAACGTGCTTCGCTGACACACGAGGCGAGTTTACGCTCGTTTCTCAAATATAAGCGCTCCAATACTTTTTATTTTGTGAATTTGATTTTGTTGTTATTGTATATCGTGTACATAGCCACAGTACTTTAGTACTGTAGTACTAAAGTACTGTTATTTCGTTTAATGTTTATAAATATGAAAAATTTAAACGGTGACTTCTAGTCGAATGTGTTTGTTCGTATTAAACGAAGAACTTGAACATAAAAAAAAAAAACAAAAACATAAAAGAATAAAAAGGATCCAACCGATCAGAGTAAAAAGACCGGAAGATGGTCAGTTTCAGGTGATATTTATAAATCTACGTAGTCACTTAGAAGTTTTTCAAGTATTATGGTATTATTCTTCCGTGTCAAACAACTTTATAAAATAAATTAATACAATTTGTATGGATATTATACAATATTGAAGACACAAATTATGAATTAACGAATAATAAACGGTTCGTCCAATATTCGGCTAACACCATGTGTTATCAAAAATGAAAATGCATTACAAATACATTGGAAAATTATTGTTTAATAATAGTTAAAAACCGTTCAAAATTAAACGTGCGCGTTTCGGCGTGTTCGAACGAACGTCTCACATTAACTTGTGTGAATAAACCAATTGAAGAGTACACGTTTAATTTTGAGCGATTAATCGCGACTAGTGTGCAATCCTAGTGGTAATCTATCGGTCGAGTGACAAATGTTTGTATTCAATGTTGGCGTTGAAACGGTTCCGGCTGAAAGTCGGTGTTTTTGACTCGCGTCATAGGATTATCTAACGATAGAGGCAAGCTTATTGCTATGACGATGTGATGTGTGTAATCATAAATCCAGTCTGTAATCGCATTCGTGACCACGTAAAGTAT